AAAACATAAACTAGACTAGACTGAATCATTATAATTTAATGGCAAGTCTGGTGAAAATCTTTGTTAAATTTTCTGGCCAAATGCCTCACAGTGTGTTTGGCCTGATATGTTATCAAATATTACTGGGAAGAGCCTTCAATAGCTTTCTTTGTATTATTCAAATGCAATTGACAGCTTACAGGCAACCTTTCTTGGTATTATCACACAGGGGAAGTAGCGTTGGAGATGCTGGTGGAGCTACTGATCGGGTTCTCAACCAGCTTCTGACTGAAATGAGCGCCAAAAAAACTGTTTTCATAGAGCTGACATAATTGACCCTGCACTTCTGCGTCCTTTGTCGTCTCGATCAGTTAATTTATATCCCTCTGCCAGATGAAGAATCACTGCCAGATGAAGAATCATGCCTTCAAATTTTCAAGGCTTGCCTCCGAAAATCACCACTTTCCAAAGATGTTGATCTAAGGGCTCTCGCCAAATATACTCAAGGATTTAGCAGGGCTAATATCACAAAGATATGCCAACGGGCTTGCAAATATGTTTCAGAGTCGATCGAAGCTGCTAGAAGCTATACATTAGGCGCCAAAGTTAGTTAGGTTGCTGAGCTGTCATTAACCATAGTTCCCGCCTAATTTTGTACTAATTCAGTTTGTTATTTATATTGTAATTACATCTTTTAGATAAAACAAGAAAATATATTTTCTGATCTTCATCGCTCTCTCTCGATTCCTCAATATGGTATCAGAGCCACTTTTGCTTCTTTCTCTTTGTCATTGAATTCAGATTATTCATATTAGATATTACTTTCCAAAATCTAAATTCATCTTCATCAATGAATCAATCCGCCATTAATGATGCCTCAAATCCTTATTACCTTCTGATGGTCCAGGTTTAGTTCTGGTTTCTCAACCACTGACTGGCGAGAATTATACTTCATGAAGTCGCGCCATGACTATAGCACTTTCGGTGAAAAATAAACATGGTTTTATCCATGGATCTGTTATTAAACCTGAAGAAAATGAAGATGTCCTCAGATCTTGGATTCGGAACAACAATGTTGGCATGTTGCTATCTCATGGATACTTAATGAGCATCATATAGCCCGAATCTGCTTATGAGATTTGGCTCAATCTCAGGGAACATTTTCAGCAGAGGAATGGTCCTCTAATTTTTCCAGTTGAAAAGAGATTTAATGAATCATACACAGGGTCAATTATATGTTGGTGCTTATTTTACTAAGCTCAAAACTATCTGGGAAGAGCTTAGCAATTATCACCCTTCTTGTTCATGTCGACATTGTAACTGTGGAGGAAACAAGAAATTGGCCGAACACTATAACATGGAATATGTGATGTCATTTTTGATGGGTTTGAATGATTCACATGCCCAATTCAGAGGACAGTTGTTACTCATGGATCATATTCTACCAATTAACAAAGTGTTTTTACTCATTTCTCAGGAGGAGCATCCGAGATCTGTAAATGTTACTACTGGAGCTGCTAATTCTTTGGCATTCTTTGCTAGAAATGAAGTTAAAAGAGCCAATTCAGGGCAAAGCTATAGTAGATTTCAGAAAAGGGAGAGGCCTGTCTGTACCTATTGTGGAGGTGTAGGTCATGTGGTTGATAGATGTTATAAGCTTCATGGTTTTCCTCCTGGATACAAACCAAAACAAAGTGCAAATTCTGTTAATCAGATAGAGTCCAGTAGAAGCAATCAAATATGTTATAATGTTCAATCGACTAATGCTATTGCTAATCAAATTTCTGGCTCTATTTCAGATAAGCATATTGGTAATGTTGGGAGCTTCGTGCAGAATCTGAATTCAGATCAATATCAACATCTAATGAGCTTATTGAGTACACACCTCTCAGATGCTAAGGTTGAAAATGAGGGTGTTAAATCTGGCCAAGAATCAGGTACATGTTTTTCCATCTCTATCACTCAAATCAGTTCCCCTATACATTAGGTACTAGATTCAGGTGGTACCAGCCACGTCTATTTCAATCGTGATTCGTTTCAAAAGTTGGAGGCCGTGCAGAACATTTACATCATACTGCCTAATCATATCGGAATCCAAGTTAAATTTGCTGGAACTGTTAGATTAACATCTGAATTAATTCTTGAAGATGTGTTATTTGTGCTCCAATTCAAATTCAACCTATTATCTATCAGTTCTATGACAAGGAATTCAAACATCAGCGTCCATTTTCTCACTGATCATTGTGATATTCAGGATGCGTGTAGCTTGAAGATGAACGACGGGGCTAGGAGAGTTGATGGTCTTTATATCATTGATGCAGTATATGATGAAGTGAAGGATAAATGTAATTCATCTAGTCACTTATCATTTAAAAGGCTGGAAAGTCTAAAGGATCAGCTCAAATTCAACAATGGTAAATGCTGTGCACCCTGTTAATTTGTCCTTTAGCCAAAATGAGAAGGTTATCATTTGTGTCAAATAACTATTTATCTGCTAATGCCTTTGTCCTTATCCATAGTGATACTTGGGTTCCATACAACTCTCCAACATGAGAAGGATACATATATTTTCTCACTTTAGTTGATGATTGCACCAAGTTTACTTGGGTTTATTTAATGAAGCAAAAATCTGATGTTCATCATATAATACCCAAGTTTTTTAGCCTTGTTGAAACTCAGTTTAACAAAGTTATTAAGGCATTCAAATCTGATAATGTCCCTGAATTACAATTCAAAGAATAATTCAGTTCAGCATATTAATTTCCCCATCATAACCTTATCCTCTCAATCTAGACATGCTCAAGTCATATATAGAAAATATCTTATCAATTGCAGCCTTCAATGATAGAGCCGTGGTATTTGTAATATTTACAATCCCTATGACACGTTCATTCACATGTCCACTATTATCTAAATAATGTATTACAATTGGCATTTGCTCCTTAATTGACACATCACGAGATTCATCAACTAGAATAGAAAATAATGAATTCCTGATTACACACAAAGAATAACGCGGTAGTTGTAGCACAATTTTGGGGTGTCGTATCCACAGGGAGATGGAAGAATATTTTAAATATCAAAAATGCTGAATTGTTCTCTCAAATGAATAATAAAATTCAATGTTGAAACGTGAAATTAAAATCAATAATTCGAAGCAGTGAAATGTCGGAATTCCCTCAATTGAATTGGATTAATCATATCAATTATTCATTTTTATAATACAATTAAAGGCTTTCATCCCAATACTCTAATCGGAAGATATATCGTGAAAATCAATTTAATTTACAAATGTAATCCTAGAATTTAGACTTAA